ACAGGCCGGCCTGCTCACAGTGTCATTGCAATTTTTTCTTTTGCGGTGAAAATCCGCGTGATCCCTAAGACGAGGATGGACCTTGGAGCGGAGCCATCCTTAACGACCACTATAGGCTGTTACAACGCGTATGGCTGCGCTCTGCGGCTGCGGGGCACTAATTGGCGACCATACCAGCGGCTACAAGAGCAGATGACGTTCGCTGTCGCATTCACATTCGCAATCTAACTCGTCAGTCCTTGATCGGGATACTAGATGACACAATGTAACTAAATAGTAAATTATTAGAGATGTTCTCTCCGGATGTCAATCTCTTGGGAGCACTATTATTTATATTATCACTGTTATTGAGCACTTATTATTATTAATATTACTTAAGCTCTCTAGCTATCATGTTGGACCTGACTTATGAGGTTCTAATTATGGACTAGAACTTCATCTACTGAGATACCCATCCAGTTATCGATACCTATTAGCTATTATTATTTATCCATCATTATTATCATGACAATCGTTATCGTTATTGTTATCATAATCAATATAACATCATTAATGCAGTCACTACAGAGAGCATGTTGTCCTCAACTTTTAGCACGTAATTCAAGGTGAGTTGATCACTAATTTATCATTATTTCAATATTATTAATATTGTTAATATGTGGATTATAACGTATTGCATAAGGTTAATCTATTATTATTATTAATATCATTATTATTATATTGTAGTTTGATGTATTATTGGTTATCAATACTATCGTCATCATATCATCATTATTATACTGTTGTTGTTATCATTATCCCGTATGCCCGAGCGAGCCAGGGAAGTGGCGGACTTGGGAGACTGCAGCGCGTGGAATGATGAAGGATTTCATGCTACTTTGCTGGTTCTGTTTCGTTTTTAGTCTTAATTGACGATATACACTACATCTACAATACACACACACTAATTCCACAGCTGCGGCAGTTATGAACTTACTATCGGACATCCATTCATCTCCGACAGACTCATCAGCATCACTGACCTCATACGAGTTCATCTATACATATGACCAGACCCACACACACACCTATATAATTATAATATACAAATAATATCGACGTAAAATTAATAATTAATCAATAGGCTTTACAAAACATAAGACGCATAAATTTTTATTGAGATCTATAATATAATAAATGTACCGACGATTTCATGAGTCTTATTATATTACGAATGTATAATACATATAAACCCGAGAGTCTATGATAAAATCAATATTTGTATGATATAGAACAGAATCCAAATCAACAAATGAGAAAGTTGAGATGGGGCAGTATAGAGGCTGATTAATGAATAAAGTAATGAAAGATAAAAATAAAAAAAACGAAAACATAGGATGAGAGAAATACGAGACTAGATATAACATAGAACAACGACGGCGAAGGGAATAACACATATTATGCTAAATAGTGAGTGAATATACGTAGCGATTAGACGGCTAGATGGAAAGGTAGGCATGGTACTGCGGCTCGGTAGCGGAGGGCGGAATAGGCCACAGTCCTCAAGTGCGATGCTGAGTAATCTAGATCGTACGTCATGTCTATTTATATATTTTACTGCTATCTACCACGAGACCTCCTCTCATCTACACATACTATCTATATATATATTATATAAATAATTATATATTATAATTATAATAATATATATATATATATTATATATATAACACGTATGTATGTGTATCTCTCTCTCATCTCTTCTCACTCTCCTCTCTCCTCCCAACCTCCTCACTCGACGCTCTCCTCCACCTCTCTTCCCTTCTCCATCCGCCTTCACCCTCAGCCCACACTCTCGCCTATCTCCACCTCCCACCCTTGCCCTCAGAAACCACGCACTCCCCCATCTCCTGCGCGTGTGCACTCGTTCATCCTCAGACACATCCACATTTAAACAATGTCCACGTCCAGGTCGGTCAGTCCTACTCGGCCTCTATTTCACTGCTTAGTACCATAACACTATACTCGCACTTCACAGCCGCTCCCGGTCTCTCAGGAGATGGAGTAAGGAGTGAGATGGAGGGAGAGAGATGAGGAAGAATGAAGTAGAGTAAGTAGAGAGTGAGAGAGGAGAGAGATATAGAGATAGAGGAGAGATAGAGAGATGATGATAGAGGAAGATAAGGTATTATGGTAGATATAGTAATCTAGTCTAGTCTATCTATCATCTACTAGGTAAGATAGATGAATGAATAAGGGAGAGAGAGAGAGAGAGAGAGAGAGAGAGAGAGGGTAAAGAGAGAAGAGAGAGAAGAGAGAGAAGGGAGAGAGAGAGAGATTAGAGAGACATAGTGCTATCTGGAAATAGTAGACTAAGACTACAAAGAAACATACGAAGTTGGATGAGACATACCGCCACCGAAGTGTGGTACATAAGTGTAGCAGATGGGGCTAGCGCCTGCTAGCGACGTCAGTAGAAGGAATAGCTAGCACTCCGTAAATCAGACATGCTTGAGACGCATATTTACGTTATCATAATATATCAGGCTTCATACCTTGTAATAATAGTATGGTACGTGTAATGTATAATTAAATAATATATATTACGAATGGTCATATGATATATCACACTTATATTATATATATATATACCAATGTTGTTATAGCTGCAGCATTGTTAGATAGAATAATACTGATCGCGGGATAGTCTAACTTATATATATAATATATATATATACTATATAATTATTATATATATATATTATAGTATAATGGCATACCAAACTCGCTAAGCGCGCGCGACAAGCACTCACCACACGGCACTGGCGATATAACCTAGACTAAGCCGGCCACAGACTCTCGACGGCATCGTCTCTCACAAGATAAGATATGGAATCGAGAAACAAACAGCTAGCGATACACTCTTAACTCATGCGGCCTCCACATGACTACTACAGCACACCGTAATATATATAGTAAAATTGATCAATAATACGAAGTTCCAATACAGATACATAGCATAAACAATTGCATCTTTGGCTCACTACATACGCAGCTAAACATAGCTCTCTATATATCTCATACTATCAGTCTTCTAATCTCTCTATATATAATATATATATATTATATATTCCTTTCACTATATTACTATCTCTCTCTCTACTCTCTCTATAGAGTCGTCTCTCTCGTCTCTCTCTCTCTCTCTCTTTCTCTCTCTCTCTCTCTCTCTCTCTCTTCTTCTCTTCTCTTCTCTCACACATGGATCTCTGGGCGTCACGAAGAAAAGTAAACAACTCAAATGAGCCAATGTCTATCTATATCCGTTTATTGCACACAACCTTCAGAGGAAAATGTAAGTAAATATTACAAGACACTAGTTATGATATGGAATATACCGGAGAGGCTGCATAAAGTAACAGACATATAGTACAATATACTAAAGTACCCTAAAACGGTGTATACAAGGCTGCACGGACACGAAACGATCGCACTATCGCCTAACACTACAACACAACAGAGTGATGTAGTAACAAAAAACACAGGGCGGACGAAAAGGGTTATTTTCCACCCCACACACCGATTAAGACGCTGGCGATAGTATATTGATTGCACAGTGTTTTATATATGCAGATCTCAGGTGTCAAAACACTCACAACGCTATCCACACATCACGGACGTTGCACGCGGGAGGCCTTGAGGAGAGAGGGAGAGCAGAAAGAAAGAAATTAATTTATCCACGAGAAATGAGGAAGGGATAAAAATCAAAACACTCAATAGCACACACACACACAGCAACGCAGCAACGCGCCCCCGCTCCAAGACCGTATCCTTCCACAGAGAGGAGAGAGAAGGAGCTCGCGTAACCAAAACATTAGCCCAAATAGTAGCAAACTTTGCTGGCTGGGATGACACAGAGATGTTTTAGCAAGGGCCTTCCGGGAACCCCACCACCACTTTATATAGCGTTCATAGATGGACCGTCTCCACGCTGCGTGTGCGGCGAACCCAGCGGCTAGTCGGTTGTATGACATATATACTGTCCAGTGTGCGACTGTGTAGGTAAGATGGGCACTTATGTCATGTAAGCGCCCAGGTCATGTATATTTACAAAACTGTCATAACTATATACCGCCGAAAAATTCATTCAGTTTTCGAAAAATGACAATTCATAATAATTAAGTGCACAGGCAGCCATCATAGCAGTATCTAAAAGTATATTAGTCATATAATATAATATCTACAAGAGTGTATAAAGTTTAAGTGTTGATCAAATTATGGTGTTGAATTGTATTAGATGATTAAGCTCAGACAGCAGGGAGTGCTCGAGGCTACAGATGGCATCAACAACAAGTTCGAGGCGACTTGTGGAAAATTATTACGCTTCTGAGCAGAATTTGAGCAACCACCACAACAAGAATTGCTGACAAAGGCAAGGCTAGAAGACCACACCTGATCTCCAAACATCACATTCGGGTGACTCTTACATAATAACAACCGCCGTCTACTTATATTGGCCTCCAAATGATTTTGTCTGTAGCTACTATCCACGGAAAGAAAAACACGAGGTAAAGAGGAAAAGCCTGCAATCCAACAGAAGCACAAATACCATTGTGTAATTATGACGCATATTGTGAGGTAACGCCCCTCACAATCGGGGCAAAAAACGCAGCGGCGGGAGGACCGGGCCGTCCACGAGGGCAGGAGGTTGGGAGGGGTGGCGTCGCGTAACAGGGGCGTGTAGTAGTACCGCAGTCCGGATTAGGTGCATTTTCCTCCTGACGCGTACACATATCCGCACGCGGGTGGCCGAAAGTGGCACCGCCGGGAACAGGGTGCGGCTGGCATCCTCCCCGGACGCTGCGAGGCGGCCCGGTTTCTTTCTTATGATGTGAGGAAATTTGCGTCCTAGACATTGTGTCTGGCGAAGTCCGAATGGTGCTCCCTGAATGCAGGGATTTTCTTGTACGGGTGTCCATTCGATCGGTAGTGGCGTGTCTGCTGTTTAAGGGGAGGACGAGGCA